TGAAATGTGTAGATGTTCTCCAAGGGACTGTGGTGCAGGAAGCTGACCCTGGGATGACTGAGCCTAACCAAACAGCACTAAGTGGGGGTGGGGGGCCTCAATACAGAAGGGGCTGGTTCTCAGGGAAAGGCTTCAGCCAATACTGGAGCGATGGGACAAGGCAGGATAAGAGTCTACAAATATTTGGAAGGCTCAAATACCCTGGAGGAAGGGAATTACCTTGTCTAGTAGACAAGGGTTTCAAGGCATCAGGCAAGGCCTTGCCCATAATTCTCTTCTTGTCTATGCATGAAAGTCCCACCAAGGATGGAGCATATGGCTGAACACTGGACCTGGTCTGGAGTGGAGTGGACAGGAGACCATCTGTGTGCTGGCACTACCCTCGCTGAACTTCCTGGGGTAGGGACAATAAAGGAGACCCACGTGGCCAGAGTCTCCACATCATCCCAGATGCTGGGCTTTCCAGGGCGTGTGGGAGGAATTGCTCAGTGCACATCCCAATCGCAGGGCTTCGGCATCACACCAGAATCTGCCTGGAGAGAGGCCAACCCCTGCCAGCCTCTCAGGATCCCCATGTGTCTGAGCTCTTCACAGAGATGGGGCAAGCGAGGCCCAGAGAGGGTCAAGGGCTGCCAGGTCACACAGGCACAGTAAGAGTTGGGAATGCTCCTGGTTTCTCCTGAGGTCCATGGGTAGCGCCATGCCCATTAGCAAGGCCTTGGCACTTTTTTTATCTTCCCAGGACTTTTCCCACAGTTGCTTAGGCCGTTATGAAACAGGTGATAGGTGGCCCTCAAGTGTTGTGACAAGAGCCCTTTGCTTCATTAAAGGAGTTTTCCCTGAACATGGTCTCTCCAGGGCGGATGGCACAGAGCAGAACACATGCCCAGAGAAAGGATGGAAAAATGGGTATCAAATGACATCATAATGTCTGAGGCACACACCAAGAAAATCAATGTTCTCCCCACCACGGAGACCCACTGGGAAAATACGAGGGAGATGACCAAAGATTTGATGGGTCTTTTAAAGCTTTGTTTGGTCGAAATATTTGCTCTTATTTTAAAAACTTCTTTGTCGCAGACAAAATTGTTCTCTAATTTGGTCATACATTTGGATTTCATTATTTTCCGAATGTATTCCAGACATCTAAAATTAAACAGATGTCATCGACCCGGTTTGGACCTAAAAGACTTGTAACCAAACAGTGACTTCAACCCCAGTACAATACCGACTTGGAACACTGTGTTTTAGTCATTAAAAGTTTTAAAACTCTGCCCCATTTTTCTCATTTCCTATAATGAGATCTTTTCCCCCTCCTTGAAATACGCCAGTTCTTCAAGGGTCAGTGGAGAGTCAAACTGGAGAGTAAAGCAAATTTAAATATGAAAAGTGGGAGAGTGAAATATGAAACCCTTATCCACTGAAACCCTCTCTGAGAAACCAAAGCTCAGTCTCATTGCAAAGGAGGAAAAATGGTAAGGCAGAGATATAGAAATAGTATGAGTGCAGGAAGGGGATTTGGCTTCTAAAGCCTGAATTGTTTTATCGTTCCTTCTCTGACAGGGATTAGATTAGTGAGAATCCTCCAAGCCTGCTCAGGGTGTCCTGGGGACAGTTAAGAAGAAAAGACAATTCTTTCTCCTCTCCGATCCTCATCTCTGAGCTCGCCCCAAATGAATTTGTTAAGCGGCATAACCAGGTCAGAGGAAAGCGCCTATTGGAGATGCCCAGAATTCACAAGCAGGGGCCTGTGGCCACTGGGGAAATGTCTGAGGAGGGGCTGGGGAGTTCGTGCATTTGGGGCTTGGAGGTCACATTGGGAGTCTGGCTGTATAATGTCTTCATGAAATGTCCTAAGCAAACTGCAAATAAAATAGAGATCGGGATGAGAGAGGAACAGAGACCAAAGAAGACCTTTGCCTGTCTCGTAGGCACTAGAGCCATTCAGTCCTGAACTGGGAGGCAGGCCCCTGCTCCCAAGCCCAGGCCCACTGCACAGAGCAGGGGGCTTTAGGTGGGCCTGCTGCCCTCAGAAGCCCAAGCCCAGCATATTGCCCTGCCCAGCCAGCTGCTCAGGCCCCATCCTTCCCCACTCTACCAGCCACCCCTCGCAGTGGAGGATCCAACACAGGAAGGAGGAAGGGAGAGCTCCAACCCACTCGCCTGTGCTTCCTAATGCACATGGGAAGGCAGTGCATTTGCCCCATAACTCACCCCCACCCAAATAATCCTCTGTCTAGGGCACTCTGGGAAGAACACCACCTCAAAATATGAGAAACCAGCTTACTTCAAAAAGACAGCACTTCCTAGGGCACCCAGCCCCACATACCTGTTCAAGAAAAGGGGCTCAGGCCCCTGACCCCAGAAATGGACATGGCCACAAATCTGCTCCTGCAGGGACTGGCAACATTCTCGCTAGGGTCTGCCTCGTTCACCCCAGGAGAGGAGGCAGGCAGGCAAAAGACAAGCCCAACAACTTCTGTTAGAGGACAAGGTCAAAAGCCACCTTGGGGGTGGGCAGGAGAAAAGGTGATGCCCATGAAACACACACAGGAATGGGCCCACATTGGCCCTGAGTTGGGTCCCTTTCACATGTCCCAAACTTGCCCATCACTTGAGGTGGGTGACACCTCTTGCCTTCCCCAACAGCATCCAGAGAGATGCTCACTCCTCAGTGGCAGGTGAGTCACTTAGAGTCCTTAGGGTTCAATTCTCAACTGTACCTCCCGATGATTTGTGAAGATTTACTCCCCATAGCCGGCAAATAGCTTGGCCCCAGGTGAAACCTGGCTGGCTCTCCAGAGGGCTCTGCTGAGGAGGACTGAATCCTTGGAGTTCACTAGTGATGGCTGCCCTAATTGTGGGAGAAGAGAAAAATGGCAGCATCCAGTTCTCCTACTCACCAACCCAGAATCAGCCCATCTTATTTCACAGGTGAGGAAATGGAAGCCCAGGGATGTAAGGTGCATGTATGCAAGGTGGTCACATTGGAACAGAAGACCAAGCATTCAAAAGTTGTAATACTGGAAAACTAGTAATGTGCCAACTGGTAGATTTCAATCTTCAGGGTTCCCTGGGTTTGAATGATGTTGGACTTTTCAAAGCACTTTAATCCACTGTCTTAGAATGGGCCCTACACACTTGTAAGAGGGGCATCAGATAGGGGAAACTGAGGTAAGCCTGGTGAAGTGATGCCCCAGCTCACACAGCAAACCAGTGACAGAGCTGGGAGGAAAACCTCAGGCCACTCTTCCCATAGATCACCTGCCAGCCAAATTGGCACTGTCACCCAAGGTATTCCAGAGGGGATTATTTTGCTGGAACAGGGAGGAAGGGGAATGTGGAGAAAGCATTGGATGTCCAGTACCCTGGCAGTGTATGGGGGGGTGGTAGTAAACAGTGACAACTTATTAATGGCTTTACATCACTTCGGAGACTTGGAAGGGAGAGCCAGCTGACCAATAAGACATCATTACCACCGAGCCCCTTGAGTTTACTCGTACAAAGACTTTTTAGTCAGCAAACGTCACTCATTTCTCTAATAGGCGGCTGGCAAAGCTCTTTTAGTACCTATAATAAACTGAAGTTACAAAAGGGACAAATTAGCTGGCAAATATTTGCTGGTAATTATTTGTTTTACCAAAGGATTGTTTTCTCTTTATCCCAGAGTTCTTATAAAGAGCAAAAGATTTTCCAGCATTTGAATATAATCCCATTCACAAAGCTCTGAGTACACCCAGCCACTGAGAAGCTCAGAGCTACTCATTAAGTTGGGACTTGACAACTGCCCTACATAAAGCACCAGATCCTCAGCTCACAGCTGCTCCCAACCCCAAAGATCATGGGGGGTGGGAGACACATTTGACCACAAAAAGGATGCCAGGGAAAGTGGGCATGGGCTCCCCATGATAATCGCCAAAGGGGAGGCTGGAAAAGCTCTAGTCCTTGTTGAACTTCAGAGATCAGTGCTCATTGCACAGGTGCAGATGGAGCACCTGCTGTGTGCCAGGCATTATGCTAAGGCATGGGTGAGATGGACAGCAAATCTGACACGATTCCTGCCTTCCCAGAGCATGGAGGGAGTGTGGAGGGGGAGGTGAAGATCAAGACAAATATCAGAGAGCCACACTAATGAACACCTAACTGCAAAGACACCCAAGGACTCTGCAGGAGAGGAACTCAGTTCCAGAAGAGCTCCTGATAAAGACACGTGACCTAGCCTGAGGGGAGGCTTCGCAGGAGTTGAGATCTAAAGGATCAGTGACAGTTAACCAGACAACAAGGGGCAGGGCGGAAAGAGGTCCAAGAAGAGTCCAGGGCATGTGCCAAGGCCCTGGGATGGGAGGGAACATGGCATGTTTGAGGAATTGAGAAAGGAAAGCCAAAAGTGGCTGGACAGCAGAGAGCAATGGGCGGAGTGATGAGAGACGAGGGCGCAGAGGTCATGCTAAGGAGTCTGGTCTTCATTCAAAGGACAACGGGAAGCCATGGGAATGTTTAAGAAAGTGAAAGTCATGATCAGTCTTGGGTTTTGAACAGATGGCTCTGGGTGCTGTGTGGAGAAAGGACTGCAGGAGGGCAAGGTGAGAGCAGGTAGCCACCTAGGATGTGCTGTCCAGGTGAGGGGTAAAGGTGACTGGACTGGGGTGGCAGCAGTGATGATGGACAGAGGTTGAGGGACTAAAGAGCTCTCGGATATAAAACTTCAGGATGGATTGGACATGGGGGCTAGAGGGAGGGTGTGTCAGGGATGCCTCCCAGGTGTCCCCTGAGATGGAGACACTAGAAGAGGGGCAAGTGTCTGTGCTATTCTGCGTGGCAGGGTCAGGAGTGCAGCTGTGACCATGGCTGAGTCTCAGATCCCTTTGAGACAGCCATGCAGAGGGAGATGCTGAGGGGCCAGCTGAGTACAGGAGTCCCACAGGGGGACACAGGCATATCCAGGACACAGACCATAGCCCCGTGGTCCTTGGAGGGCTACTCAGGAACAAGTCCCAGGATGTTATAGGACACACATCTCTCTCCACAGCCCCCCTTAGTTCCTCCTTTTAACTCTTCTTATGAGGTGATTTCATGGGGAGATAGAGCTGCTTGCCACAGAAGTTAGACATCTTTCTGCATGAGAAAAATCTGTCTTCTGTCCTTAAGGAAACAGCCAGAGGAAGGAAGCCTCAAATCTGGCCATGGGGTTTAAGTGTAGACGCTCAGGAGAAGTCCCTGGCTCCGAGGGTGCCACGCTGAAAGGCTTGAGTAAGCAGGAGTCTGGGCTTCCCTTCCCCTGAGGCTTCTGAGATGGGTAAAGATAGACGGGGCAGTCTCTGAGAATGCCTGGAATGCAGTGCTGCCAAGAGGCAGGGAATTGGACCTGAGGAACCGAGAGGCTCCCTGTGCCCAGGTGACTAAGTCATAGTCACAGGAACTCTGCAGCCATAACAATAGCTCCATTCCCTGGGCATGGCATAAGCTCAGGGGCTTCATCCACATTCCTTCATTTGATGATCGCAGCAGTAGCCCTTGGTGAACACTAGCCCCAGGTAACAGATACAACACTAAGGCTCAGAGAGGTTAGGTAACATACCCACAACCACACAGGAAAAAAGGTACACTCCCAGGATTCAAACCCTTACCTTATACCAAAGCCCACACTTCTTCCTCTCCCTTCTCCTCAATCCCCTCCCTACTCTAGCATTTTATTCTATTTGAGAAGAGCCTGGTACTAAAGTGCTCTTAGAAATTTTAATAAATGTTAGTAACATGGGCTCTGGGCCAGGTAGAAACAATCTGCAACAGCATTTCAGTACAAAGTATAAATATAATAAACACATATAACACACATACACATAACACACAACTGCACTCCACGGAAGGAAGAGTCAACTGCTCACTAGCAGAAAGAAAAATACCTGGGAGAAAAGTCTGTAAGAAATACAGACTTGGTAGAAACAGATAAAAGATCTTTGTGTATAGTTTAAATATATCTAATACATTTTGCCAAAGCACCTTTCAGAGATGCGGTGGCTATTTCACCCGCATTACATGAGCGTTCCTACCCCTACATCCTCACAAACAAGAAGGTTCTACCAATTTGTAAGAACTCTTGTAGATTCTTCATCTATCATTTGGTACAAATGTAATTTCTCTGTCAGTTCCTGTCTTTATTACTTATTCTTTGGGTTCTTTTCCTATAATTTTAACTTTAATAATCTAGCTTACAAAGTAGCTTACATTTATACTTTAAAGCAAAAATCAAGGCATCTGTCACCTGTAAAGACTACTTTCTGTAGGATTTTAATTCAGCTATGGTTGACAAAGCCACCGTGTCTGGGGAGTGACAGGTGAGGACCCTCCAAAGGGAAGCAGGTCTATCAGGTACCCTGGGGCTCACCAGTGGTGGCCAGTGGGTGAGCCCTCCCAGGGGAGACAGCCAACACCTGCTGTCCTGCTCCCAGGGCCCTGGAGCCAGCGGCTGCTACTTGACTTTCTCATCAGGAGGCCCCACAGCTGCACAGCACAGCACCCAGACAAGAGAGCCACAAAGGAACCTAGGCACCCAGCTGCATCCTCCCAGGGATCACGCCCTTCGAGAGGCAGCTCCATGCTCACTCCAGGCCTTCATCCGACCCAGTTATCTGTCACACAAACACACACACACACTTGCCCAGCACGTCTCCAAAAAAGCAATGATCAAAATGAGTCCATGCAAGTCAAAGTTGCTCACACATCTTAGGATGCAGAACAGGGAAACTGAGCTCCCTGGCCTTCCCTACACCCCACGAGAAAACAGCCAGGAGCCAACAGCAGGCCTTCCAAACACGTTTTTCTTGCCCTCCACCCACATCACAGGACAAGTGTACCAGAGGTACACTGAGCAGCACATGCCCATCTGGCCCCAAATGGCTGCAGAGGGGCCACATTGGAGGGCTCCCTCCACAGTACCCACCCCTCCCTCTGCATCACCCATGACAGTGCATGGGGCTACTGCAGGGGGCGAGACCTTTGAAACAGGAGCAGGCACTGGGGTGAGTCCCCCACAAGCTTTGCGGAAGCAACTGCCTCTGCCTGGGACCTCAGAGGTTACAGTCAGAGAGGGCTCGGTGGGTGACAGGTTCTGGTGCCCCCAGAATGTGACCTACCCAAGGACCCATTGCTTCCCGAAAACAGGGCCTCTGAAGCCCCCCTTTGACTCCACAGGTTTAAGTCTCTCCCCTTCCCCGCATTGCCCAGCTATGCAAACAAAGGCATGTTTGGGGGAAGAAAGAAGGGCGTTCATATTTAATAACCCTCAAATCGGGCTCCACATGTGGCTATTGTTAGGCAGATTTAAACAGCAATTACAGAGGTACCTCCTTCCTCCTCAGCAACAACCTAGGCCCTTAATCCAGCTAAGACCCAAGAGTTTAGGGCTGAGCTCACTGAGAGATGAAGGTACCAGCTTAAGCGGGGCCTGCTCAGAGATGGGGGAGCTGGAACGCGGACAACGGCCCTCCCTAATTTACTCCGTCTTGCCGGCAAAAAAGAAAAAAAAAGAGCAGGGGTGGCGGTAGGGGCTGAAGATGGGGTTGCCTGGCTGAAGTCTTTGTGGTAAACTGGCTTCCAGAGAACTCACATGGAAAGTTTGCAGAAATGTTTGGACCAAGGATTCAGAAAGGAAGACAACGTGCTCCCCACAGGAGCCCCAAGCTCCAGCTGAGGCTGGGGGATTGGGGGCTCCTCTTTCCAGAACACTTGGTATTCAAGGCTGCCAACAGTCTGACCAGGGTAGAAAGTAAGTTTCCACAGGGGAAACGTGGTCAGGGAGCGAGGAGGGGATTTACAGAAAGGCCAAACAATGCGCCACGAGCATGCTACCTGTGTTTCTGTCCCCTGCTCCTCTCTCTGCTCCTTTCAGTTCTCCGGCCCGGGGTGCCCTCCCTACCCTGCACTTGTCTGAGCCCCTCACTCCCCATCAGGCCCAGCTGGAAGGTTCCCACTGCTGTCCTGGAGCTCAGGCCTCCTGCGATGGTGATGGCACGCACACTCTCTGTGCAGGTTGTGGGGCTCATGGTGCTGATGGTTGACCCTCTGGGCCACCAGGTTCCCACCCACTTGAGGAAAGAGGCACTGCAAGACAGAGGGTTGTGACTTCTCTCCGCTGCCTGGGCTGGCTCCATCAAACCAACGTCTACTTTAAGAAGCAAGTCCCTTCTCCTTGTCCCAGTGTCAGAGGAGGGAGTGAGCTGCCCACCACTGGAAGCCTTCCAGCAGGAAGACCCCGAACTGTGGCGTGGCAGGACACTGCCTGGAGGCTGGAGGGAGCCACTGTCTCTAGCCCTGGGGGCCTATGACTAGTGAATCGGCACCTCTCTAGTTACCATCCTTTCAACCCTGGATTTTCTCATCTACGTTTTCTGAGTATTATTTGGTCTGCCTTATCACCAAACAATAATGAAAACCATTTGGTGTCAACTGTAATCTTGGATAAAGGCCCAAGCCTGATGCTGGTCTAGAGAGGCAAAGGGACCGCAGCCAGCCTTCACCGAGCACCTTGTCCCACCAGGCAGCACCATGCTGGAGCTGGAGGTGAAGGCAGTGGCTGTGGACAGCACAGACCTGGACTGGGATTCCAGCTTCGCCACCTAGCAGCTGTGCAACCCTGGGCAAGTTACCCAATTCTCCAAGCCTTCATTTCCTCGTTCACAAAGGGACAGTAACAATACAACACCACAGGGCTGCCGAAATGAATTCAGTGAGTGTGTGCAGCCCTGCATAAAGTGTGGTTCGGGATCAGCAGCAGCACCTGGGAACTTGGTAGAAATGCAAACTTTTCCACCTTAGACCTGCTCAATCAGAACCTCTCGGGGTGGGGCTCCGCGATCTCTGCTTCCCAAGTCCTCCAGGTGGTTCTCACACACACTGTAGGTTGAAGAACCACTCAGCTGTGTATGAAGGTGATTAAGAACTAGCACCTGCCACATAAGCTACATTCACAACTGCAAGAATCTCCATCTGCCCCTCCTGTCTCCCTGAATGGACTATAGGCTCAGAAAAGTCCAGTCACTTCAAATTCAAACAGCTAGAGCCCAGGCAATGTGACTCCTGGGGCCACAGCCTTCCAACCACACCTTGCTGTCTTCCATTTAAAGCTCAAATCCTAACAGAGAGTAAGTGTTGATGATGTTCTTTACAGGGCTAAACAGAGGTGAGGGTGGGTAATACCTATAAACAGCCTGTGCCACTCTGCAGGGAAAGCAAGAAGGCTAAGAATAGAAATCATCCCTCCTAAAATACGAGGGTGCAGAGCCTCTCGGGCCAGAGATGACTTCATTCCTTAGAAATAAAGGGCATGGGATACACAGAGGGTTCTCCAGGACACAGCTGCTGGATCCTTAGGAATGCCCAGGCATCTCAGTAGCACTAGCAGTAGCTCTTTGAGCTATCTATTTCTTTAATACTTTTCTAACACAAAATGGAAAATATGATTATCAGCTCGTCATGAACTTTGTGACTTTCTCTCTAGGTCTCAATTTCTCTATCTGCAGACAGGGTAAGCAGTAAGCATCCAAAAGCTCTATAGCTTGAGCAAGTGCTATTCTCCCCTTACCCTCTGCAATTCAGGCTGAGGCATCACCCAAGGACAGGATCTCCTTAGCTTGCACTGCACGGAGTCCTGGTGTGCTGTGCACCTACTGTGTGCAGACCACTGGCCACATCTGCAGCAAGCACTCATATAAGCCAGAGCCCCAGGTTGCCGGGTAGAGAGAAGAGAGTGTCAATATCTGGGAAACCATTTGCAGAGAACTCATGGAAGCCAGTATCATTGCTCCTCTGCCTCTATGCCTCACCTTGTCACCCCAAATTAAAGACCCCCATGGGCTCCTCTTTGCTTTCAAGAGAAGATTCAAACTGTATTTAATCTGCCTCAACACCCTGTCTGGCAAGCACTAGGCCCCAAATAAATGCTTTTATACTAATACACATAAAGCAATTTGCTCAGGGTATACCTATCCCCAATCTCCATAACATGTTGCTGCCTTATCAGCCCCTGCAAAGCTCCTCCAACCACCAGACTGGCACACAGCCTGCAATTCCACCAGGAACTGTTCTTAGCTAGCCCTCACTCCCCACACTCCAGCCACACCAAATTCCACAAGGAAACCAAGCTC